CTAGGCATAGAAAGTCACAGCTATCACACTGACTGGCCCAGGGCCACTGCTTGTTAAAATGAGGCACTATGCAGGCAGAACTCAGTTATGCCTCACACCGGATGTATGGTATGGGTATAAGTGTCTCCGGGTCTCAGATGAAGAACTACAGCTCCAAAAGTTAAGTAAATCCAATAAAATCATCATCAGGAGAGCTGGGGCTTGAACTCAGTTTTGGTTGACTGGAGAGCTGGCCTCCATCCAACCATCCATCAGTCTGTCCATCCATCTGTCCGTCCATCCATCCATTCATCCAGCAAATACTTATGGAGCATCCACTGTATGCTAGACATTGTGCTAGGCACAGGGAATGTACCTAAGGGAGCACGATACACTCCTTGCCCCATGCATCTTACATTATACTGGGCAGAAAGACAATAAACAGATACATGATGACATGTGAAAATCAAGATCAAGATGTGAAATGCAGGGTCAGGGAAGGCATGATAGGTAGGTAGGACAAAGGCAGGGTGAGACTAGTGACCAGTCTAAGAGGCAAAATTTAAGTTGCTGCCCACTCACAGGGTCTGGAAGTGCAGAGTTGATACTGCATAACTCGCTTCTTTACATTTTGTACCCGTTGGTGATTTGCTTGCCTCATCCTGGTCCTGACTCTGTGGATAAGGAGTCATGGAGGGCAGGTAACATTTGTAAGAGTGGCCAGATGCTCGTACTTTAATTGGGGTAAACTATGGCATCTGGAGTCGAGCTTCAGGGAAGGCCTGAGCAGAGATCCCTAAGGAGAAGACATCTATGCATCCTGACTGTGATAGACATCTCTCCATTTCTAGGGACAAAATACCTGATGTATACAATTTAAAGGAAGAAGGGCTTATTTTGGCTCATAGTTTCAAAGGTTTCAGTCCATGGTTTGTTGGTTCAGAGGCAGAAACATTATGGCAGAAAAGCATGGTAGAAGAAAGCTGCTAACCTCATGGCAGCCAGGAGAAGGGGCCAGACAGAAAGGAAAGGGCAGGGGCTGGGGATTTAGCTCAGCGGCAAAAAGCGCCTGCCTGGCAAGCGCAAGGTTGTGAGTTCGGTTCCCGGTACCGGAGAAAAACCAAAAAAAAAAAAAAAAAAGAAAGGAAAGGGCATGGGGACACAGTACATCCTTCAAAGGCTTCTTACACAGTGACCTACTTCCTCTAATGAGGCCCCGTTTCCTAAGAGTGTACTCAGCTATGAGGCATCATCATGAGTCTTTGCCGGGTAATTTACAGGAAAACCAGAACAACGACTGTGCTGTGGCTTCAAGGTGCAGAGGGCCAAGGGCTGGAGAATGAGTAAGGGTGAGGGGGATGTGAAGGGGAGGGTATTAGTGGACAGATGTCTTTAAGGCACCAGGGAGCCCACAGCCAGTGGCTGCTGTGAGATTGCAAATTTTCAGCTAAGGACTAGAATTTTTTACAGTACAACTGTGCCTTGTGTGGTGAAATCCCTACATTTTAATTTGGGCTAATTCACCCAGGCCTTATGCATCCAGGAAGAATAACAGTATCTCTGAGAATGTAGCACTGTTCTCATTCTTTTCATGTACTAGCTCATTATGGCAGTAGCCAGTATGAGATCATCTTGGTGGCTATCTCTGTTTACAGATGAGTGAAGTGAAGCACAATGTGAATAAGTGACTTGCCCATGGTCGTACTGTCAGTTTGTGGCAGAGCTAGGATTTGACCTCAGGCTGTGTGACTCTGGAGTACGCTCTTAACCATCTCACCTTCTGCCTCTTTATGTCACTGGACTCAAGACGAATAAAGATGTACTCAGGCATCTTCCCGTTCTCACCCTTTGTTTGTTTGTTTTTTTTTCCGGCTCCGGGAACCAAACTCACGACCTTGCGCTTGCCAGGCAGGCGCTTTGCCGCTGAGCTAAATCCCCAGCCCCTCCTTTCTCACCCTTTGGCCCGACCTGAACCTGTGACCTCGAGTTCCATCCCACTTCCTCTGCCTCCCCACTCTCTCTGCTGCTGGGTCTGACTCCAAAGAGCCCCTTACTCGATGTGCTTCTGCACACTTTCAGTTCTTCTGTTCTACCTTCCTTGGGAGCCTTCCTTTTTGATTCAGTCTCAGGAGTTCCTGAGGGAATTGCAAGGAGACCGGGGCTCCTCTCCAGTGTGCTCTGATGAAGTCACTGAGATAAACACCTTGGGAGGAAAAGGTTTTTGGCCCACAGTTTCAGAAGCTTCTGACTATGCTTAGCTGCTCCATTGCTTTTAGGCTGGCTGTGGTGAGGCCGAAATGTCATGGTAGAAGGTGTGGTGGAGGAAAGCTGCCCCCATCATGGCGGCCAGAGAGAGCCGGGGGAAAGGGCTGGGTACGAGATACAGTCCACTCCCAATTCCTTTCAGCAGAGACACACCTCACAGCTTTCATTACCACCCAAGCATGCCAGCAAATTGTAACTTCATTAATGGATTAATTCACTCATCAAGTTAAAGCCCTCACAATTCACTTGCTTTCCAAAGCCTCATCTCTGGATATATGAGCCTTTGGAGCAGGGTGTTTTAGATCCAAACCATACCACTGAGCTTGACCTCTCACTGTAAGGGTGGACATCAGTCAGAACTGACAGCTAATGTGATTTTCTAGACATTTGGAGACATTCATTTTATATGGTAGGTTACAAAGTTTGTGCCTTGGAAAGTCTTGAGAGAAATTCTAGCTTCAGGACTATACTGGTTATGATTTTTAAGTCCTGGAGACCCAGCTTGCTTCTAAACTCGATGAAAGATAGTTCAGTATGGGCTCATGTAATTGGGAAGGGTAAAGGTGAACTTGAGACCTCAGATACATCTGAACGTCCTCGTGGCTGAGATTAACTGTCCTTGATACCCACGCTCCCTTCTTTTTAGGGACAGAGCCACTCACCTGTTGATTTTTGGCTTCCAAGCCAGCTTTCCCTCCAGCTAGGTGTTTCCACGGCTAGGTAACAGGATACGAACAGATGACAATTTCTGTTTCAAGAACTTAAAACTAAAGGTGCTCACCTTCCATATTTCTCAAGGGTTGGGATGTGGAAGCAGAATGTGGTGTGCCTTTGGCCATGTGGAAGAGGATAATTGAAGCAGCCAGCTCTGACCTAGAGATGGAAGGCTCCGTTCTGCTGAAGATGGCAGAGCTGCCTGCCATCTTGGGTCCCTGGGTGGCTGTATGGACTGTCTGATGGGCCACCTCTGACTATTGCCTGAGACAGGAATAAACTATTTCATTTGCAACACTACATTTTGGGACTTCTTTGTTACAGCAGCTTACCTAATGTGTAACACTACAACACTCTAAATAGTTGATTTCTCTCTGAGTTTTTAGCTTATGCTGACAGCCTCCTCTCCAGGGCCAGGAAAATAACTGCAGTCAGCCTCAGGCTCACATCTTTTAGCCACCGACGTAGGTAGAATGAGCTCATCTCTCCCAGCATCCATCTCTCAAGAAGAAGCTCAGTTGCCCCTGCCTGGTTCACATGGCATCACTGGGGAGGGGACCTGGGGATGAGGTTATGACTACGTTGTGTGCTAGAGCAGTTCCTGCCAATGGTGCCACCAGAACATCATGGAACAGGGATGGTAGCTCTTGTAGAACAGGGGTTATTTTTACAAGAAGCGGGGAAAGGACACACATGAAGTATAAAACAGGTAGATTTTCATAACAATCATTTAGTATCTGCCCGACTTCTGGCTTGTGCCAAACTTTGCTAAGCCTGGGTTCTCACATGTAAAATGGGGTTACCTATCTTAGAGGGCTGTAAAGATAAAATAAGAAAATGTATAATATATATATTCCATCAAAAAGTATATGTGCACTTGAGAAGTTTGCTGTACTAGTAAATATCTGGAAGCTGATGGCCACCACTTTGAGCACCTCTTGTAATTGTAGAGCCCAAAGGTAACTTGTATCAATCTCATGATCTCTCAATAAATTTAGTATTAAAGTAGTTGTACAAGTTTTTCTTTCCCTGATGTATATTTTTTGGCTATGTATATCTATTCATATATATATATCTCACCACAAAGCCTAATCCAGAGTAAGTGCTCAATTGAAATATGATAGCTACCACTTTACTTTTGGGTAACTAGCTATATTCAATTTTTTGTTAGTTGGTAAGGAGAATCAGGGTGATTTTAGAGATGATGTGAATTATGGAGAGTGTTTGGACCCTGGTCTTAGTTTGGAGGCACTGTCAAGCTAACCCAGTGAACCCTAACACTGTGTTGAGGAAAAATGGGTGTGGTGCCAGAGGGACCTAGAGAAGGGAACAAGAACTTCTGAGAGTAGGAAGACAGAGGCATCTTCAGAGGAGCCCAGGCTCTTCTGGATTTCTGATTTTTCCTTTATTTTGGGAATTGTCGGGGAGGGCAGTAGGGTCTTGTCCTGTGTCTGAAGAATAAACACGTGCTTTGTTTATAAACCAGCTGGACTCTGCAAGACCCTGTAAAAATGGAACATCCCCTCCTGAGTTCCCCAAGTGAGGTCTGGGCCAGCAGCCTTCCCTGGCCCCTTGTCAGCAATGCACACTCTTGCTCCCCCGCAGGCCTGCTGGCTCTGGCACCTACTCGCTTTTGAGAAGCACGGGTCTAGATGAATATCGTGCATGAACATGAGGCTGCACTTTCGAGAAACGGTAGTGGCCCCGCAGCCCAGGGAAGGGGACTGGCTCCCCTCAAGAACCCAGGAGTGAACTGGGTATGAAAGGAAGGCCTTCTGCTTCCTAGTCTCATGCTCTTTGCAGAATTTGAAAGAACACTTTGTGAGGACCCTGGAGCAGGGAGTGTCTAGAACATCCTTTTCTGCGCCAGAGACTCGATGATGAGCCCTACATTGGCAGCCTGCTTCTAAAGCCCCACACGTGGTGTTAGACCTCCCCAAGAGGGAAGTGAGAGCTGAGGTCAAGACGGATTTGCAGCAGGAGGGAGCTGAGTTGGAATCCCCAAAGTGGCAGCAATGAAGAACAAGGAACAGAGGAAAAGGTTATAAAAATGTTTAGTCTTTGCTTTATTGAGTTACAACAAATGAGCAAAAGTTAGAAAAATCAGTTTTATTCAAACTCCCTAGCATTTTATCTGTGCAGTGTACTCAAACAGAGGGGGTGTCAGGAGAGGGGGAACGGGATTGCAAACATGAATCATATTGCAACATTTACATCAGACATGTCTCTTGGTTCTCCTTCTTTAAAAGTTAGGACTAACTAAAAAAAAGTGCACTCAGGTATCTAAAATTGGCCCAAAATACACACACACACACTCACACACACACGCACGCACGCACAGGCACACACACTTGCACACACAATATCAATTCATGGTGAGGCTTCAAGCCAAAGCTTCTCAAATACCACACCAAGAAAAGGCAGTTAAGAAGAAAAATGAAAACCCAAAGCTGTTTATCTTTGTACCACCTAGAAAGGGAGATCCTTTGTTTGTTTAATTTCATAAGCACAACGATGGTGCTAATAAGTGTGGAGCCCTTCCTGCTGGTGTTTGAAAAGGTGCTCAGCAGTCCTTCCAGTGCTGCTGGGGCTACGCCAGCCCTAGGAGACAAGTGGTGGCGAGGGCAGACTCACCTCTTGGCAGTATGGGAAACCTGTGTGGGTGAGGCCAGATCCCCGAGCAGCCAGGGAAGAACTGAAAATGGATTTGATGTGGAAGGTCTGCTATCTGCAAACCCACTTTCCACCAAGAAACCTTCCAAATTCCAAGCTACATTTAAAAATAAATTCTCCCTATCTAAAATCCAGTAGATATAATGGCACTAATACTAGCACACCCTCCCCAAATTAATAAGAGAAAAATAAAAAAGGGAAAAGCAATGTGGTTAGCCCTCGCTCCTGGAAAAAAACCTTGCAATGGTAGTGCTGGAAAAGGAAGTTGCCCTTGATTAAAAAGGTAACAAAATTCCCACAGAGTACAAATCAGTTCCAGTATAGCAAGAGGCGGGCCTGGGGCAGAGGAGCCAGCTATGTACAAGGACCCATTGGAAACACAGTAGTAGGACTTTGGCACTATGAACAATTCCCATCTGTCCTCTGGGAGTCGGTGGGGAGCTCTCCAGGCACTAGTGAGCTAAGCAGTTCCACTTGGAGTCTCTGGTGAGGGCGGCCCACGGCGAGAAGGGAAGTTCTCTTCTTTCCCAAGACAGAGTGTCCCCTGTATAGCACAGTTCCGAAGGACTTACCTAGAAGGGGGACACAGAGAGAGAATGTCAAGGAGAAGACCTTCACTGCTTGGGGTGCAAGGAAGCAGGGCTCGCTTCTACTGGCCTTCCTGGAGTTGATAAGTTGGACTTATCTCAGGGCTTGGAGGAGGAACGATGCCCTTCCAATGAGGGATCTGGTGTCAAAAGTTTCCCTAGCACAGTGGGCACTGTGGGCAGCTGCACAAAGTGGGGACTTTGATATAGGGCGGCTTTCTGGGAACGTGTAGGTCGTGTTCTGTGACACCTGCAGTAGTACAAAACCCTTTCATGATTCCTGAGGAGGAAGTCCTGGAGTCCTGCGGTTCCTGAAGTCCCTGGAGTCACTAACCTGGACTTGGTTCCCGACTTCCCCATGTGGTAGTTGAGGGGCTGTATCCACGTAAATTAATCTCTCCAGGGCTCAGTTTTTGTTTCCATAAAACAGGGATGAACACAGCACCCACCTTGTTGAGTTGTGGAGATCCAGTGAGTTGATATGTACAGCTGCTTTGGGAATAGCGAACGCTGGCAGTGCTGAGTATATCGTATGCTTTCATTGGTTTTATTACATTGTCTTTCCCAGCATGATAGGATGCACAATGTAATAAGGAGACATTTACAACGTATTTTTATTTAATGTTCATACCAATGCTAGGAAGTATAAATATTATTGTAATCCCCATTTTACAGATGAGGAAATGGAACAGACAGGACAAGTAAATTAGCCAAGATCACTGCTGGCAAGAGGCAGAGCCAGGTCACTCGGGCAATCTCTACTCTGTGCTCTTCACAAGCAGTACTCATTACTTCAGTATAAGTGACATTTAATTTTTATACTCGGAAGCAATGAAGATAGTCTAAAGACTTGAATGGTGTCCTCCCAAATACACACACTGACGCCCTTATCATCAGAAAGTACCCAGAGGTGGAAGTACTATTTGGAAACACCTTCACCAAAGTCACCAAGTTAGCATGAGGTCATTAGGGTGGACCCCTCTAATATACTGCTGTCCCCATGAAGAGGGGAAGTTTGGGCCTGAGACAGGTGGAGAGGGAAGATGTGAAGGTCCCACACAGGACAGGTGCCCATGAAGATGGGCGGATGAGGAAGTGCATTGCAGAGCACCAGGAGCCAGGGGAGGTATGAACAGACATTACTTACCAGCCCTCAGGGAGCCCCATCAGGCCCCGGGACTGTGGGGATGGATTTCTACTGGATAAGCCACCAAGACTGGGGAAGCTTCTAGAAGCTCTAGGAAATCAGATGGATCTTAGAGTCTGAGAAGGGAATCCAAAGAGGAGTTCAGGGCTGCGAAGGAGTAAGACAGTATTCCCTGAAGCCACTGGCTTTTCCTTTGTGTCCCCTCCTGCGAAGGCCATTGGAATGGCTTGTATCTAGATGTCCCCCTAAAGCTTCACACAGTCATAGGCGGGACCTTTGGAAGGTGACTGGATTACAGGGGCATTACATAGCTGACTTTGGGTTAGGACCCGGGGCCTCCTTGGAAGAGCCGGTTCACTGTGGGCGTGATCTGGAGGGTTCTAGCTCCCTTCCTACTGGGTGAGCCAGAAGTCCTCTTTTGACTCTCTCTGCTTTCTGGCTCTCATGAGGTGAATAGCAGACCCCTCTGCCACTCTGTCCTGCCTTGGAGCCAGCTGACTATGGATAGGAGCCTGAGCCAAAACAAGCCTCTCCTCTCAGTTGCAGGCACTGGGGTCTCTTGTCCCAGAGATGAAGAAAGTGACTGGAACGGCCATGTTATTGCTTGGCCCCTTCTCTGGCTGAGAAGGCCTGTGCAGAGACCAAGGCATAGGCTGACCCTTTGTGATGTTCCTCAGGTCTGGATGTTAGAGGTACTTACATTCCTTTGACACCCCTGGGAGTAAGACAGAGTTACTGGAATTAAGAAACCCATTTGTAAAAGTCTTGTGGATGCAACCAGATTCCTTGGGGTCTCTTCCCACATGCAAGTGATCCAGCAAGTCACCCATCAGGAGAGTGACCTGGGTCCCTACTGGCAATACTGCCAACAGCACTCACTGCACGAATGAGCTAGAGGTTCTCCTGGGCCACAGGAGTGCTCAGGAACACAGTCAGAACCAGGAATGATCATGATTGTGACAGTAGCTAATATTTCTGCTGCACTTAACACGAACCAGATGCACTGCCAGGTGATAATCGGCATCATCTCATTGGTGCTTTCCAGTAACCTGGCAGACCCACTTAATGGCAAAGAAGCTGCAGCTCGGAGAGATTAAACATTATGCTTAACGTTAGGCAACTTTTACAAGGTGGAGTCAATTCCACCCTGGCCAGGCCAACTTCAGAGCTGCACCTCTGCACACTGGATGTACGTGAACAGAAACCCCCCGGCCAAGGAAAGGGCACATATGCTTCAGGGACAGCAACCGAGGCTCCCAGTGAGGACCCCCTTACTGCTAAAATGTATCCCCTGGGTGGGCTGGCCACAGCCAGCCTTTTCCCCTGCAGATGGGTCCTTCACTATGTTTGGAAGGGAACTGCCAGTGGCTGCATGTCCACCCGGAACAGTTCCCCAGACCTAGGAAGCAAGGCCTCCTAGGTGAAGGGTGAAGAAGGCCTGGGTGAAGAGACGGCTAGTGTTTCTCCTTCTCCCGGCCCAGCTGAAGGACGCCTGGTCAGCCCAGGACAGCAAGGCAGAGCCTAGAGCTGCAGAGTGGGGGAAGTCGGGGATCCAGCATCTGCGTCTTTCCTGCTGGGCCCCAAGGTTGGTTCCATCAGTCTCCTGAAGCCTCACTTCCATGAATCAGAGCTGGTGGAGCCACAGGGAATTGCACACAAAGCAGGCGAAACAGAGGTCCTGGTGTGTGACAGGAGCTCAAGCAATACTGCTTTATTTTTGCTGAGGAAGGTTTGGTGTAAGCTTACCTGTGTGTGCAGTGTGTGTGCGTGCATGCAATGCCCATGCCCATTTCTGTCTCTCATAAATTATACCAGAGCCAACCTCTTCAAGTGAATGGGAAACTCTTGTTTTTTAGCTAACCTCAATATGAAGGTGGTCCTACAACTGGCAAAGTGTTTTCATGATTCTCTGTGTAATTTCTCATGGACAAACATGCATAATCCTCTAATCAAATGTAATAGTTCAGAAAAATGCTAAACTGATTGCAAGACCAGAAGGGTGACCCAGAAGGGAGACAAAGCAATATTTTTTTTTTTGCTTGTGTTTGCAGAGATTGCAGATGTGCACGGATGGTTCCAGGCATAGGAAGCACCCTTGGAACCACTTGGACTTGATTTCTCACTTTTGACTTTTCCCAGGGTGTGTGCGGTGGGCAGGGTTCAGGCTGTGGGGGCTGGCAGCACTCTCAAAATGAGGCTGGGAAGGCGCCTGAGCACTCTCAGGGTGTCTGGCAGTGGACCCCACAGGCAAGTCTGCCTTCCTGCCCAATGAAAGGGTCCTTCAGGTCACTCTGGGCAGTTCCTGGCATGCTGACCTGGGCAGGTGTCTCTCATGGCCTCATCTGTGTGCACTTGGAAGCAGCAGCATAGACAAAACCCGCTTTGGCCCCCAAATTTCTCTCTTCACTAGCAATGGGTGCTCCTCCCTGAACAGGTTTCTACCTTGGGCTCCCAGGCAGAGGCTCTGGCACGTGTGGCTGAAGCCATCCTCTTACACTGTAGAGGAGCATATTTTTGTGTCCCTTTGTGTTACTGCCCTCACTGCCTTCACCAGCTGACTAGGAACAAGGCCCACTCCTGACCAGGTTCCCAGGATGCAGCTTGTGCTTTCCTGGCAGACACTGTCCCCTGGGTCTACTCCACCAGCATGGATTCACCTGCTCACACATCAGGCGCCTTCTAGCCCCTGCATACTGTCACATGGGCAGCTGTCCCTAGATCTTGCAAACCAGATCTAAAACGTTCTTGTGCTGGGGCTTCTCAGGCATGACTGTCAAGGCTGACTTCAGCTCGCCTAGTGAGTTGTACGTGGATGTGAAGCTGGAGGACAGGGACTGTGCCCATCCTCTTCGCTGCTGGCCCTGCACCTCCACCCTGCAGTGTCTGGTCCACACAGGCTCAACGCAGGCTTGGTGATGAGTGAAAATGGGAAGCACGGTACTGTCACAGTGGTGATTGTTATTGTTTTTTTGTCCAGTGTATCACTATGCTTCGACTGTGTGGCTCTTGCTAATTCCCCTGGGCTTCCCTAGGAGACCTACCACTGACCAGACAGACATTCAACCAGCAGAGCACCTGCGCCCCACTGGGTCACTTCATCCAGAGCACCAGATCTCAGCTTTGAAGGAGACTGCAAGGCCATCTGCTCCGGCCAGGACATCTCTACCTGAAGGATGTTCGATCCCTCCACGAACACTTCCCACGAAGGGGACCCCACTTCCCACAACTGCCATGGGAACAATTTGCTGTGTTCAAACTATTAATTCTTTAGCAGAATCTGCTTCTCTAGTATATGTTGGGGAAACACGAAAAAAATTAAGTTATTTTTCCATGTGATAGCTTTCTGTTTGTGTTTCTCTCTTTCCCTGTAGGGCTTTCTCGAAGGCCCCAGGGACATGGGAGAGAGTAACACGCACTCCACAGAGCAAGCAAACACCGAGATGGTGATTATATTCTCATAACATTTCTTTTCTATGTTTAACACCACACCTCTCTGGTACAGTAATAATCGACTACTGGTGACACTGGGAGGGGGAATCTGAAGTCCGTGGCTCTCTGTAGCTGCCACCATGTGATTTTCCCATTCACTGCTGTCTCCCTCTTGTAATATTTCAGGGAGGGACTTGGTGGTTGTTTGTGGAAGGGCTGAATGGTAGGACTGTCTGCCCATGTCTCATCGTGCTGTTTCCTTCCCTCTCGGCATCCTCCGGTTGACCCAGCTCCCTCTCAATAATGCCCTCTCCCCAGTGGCGCCCTGGAGGGACTGGTGCTCAGTATGAGGGAGCTGCAGCCCTTGATGACATGTGGGGTGGAGTGCAGCATCTTTCACGGGAAGAGG